TATCAGATTGCCTTGCACGGAATGGTTTGCCTGTAGTCAGTATAACATTACCGGATAGTGACCATATAAAGACATTACAATTGTTTTTGTTAATTGAAAATAGAAAGAAACGTAAAAAGGGGGAAAAATAAATGACATATGTATGTAGAACAATTAAGTTATATGATAATCTATTTAGCATCTTAAAATTTGAGTTGAAATACATGAGTACCTGACATTAGTTTCCTGTTTTAAATGGATTGATTGTCATGCTTTCGTGACCATGTTGTGACACTACAGTATGACGTCATGTGACCTATAAGAGGCCACGTCACCATGAAAATGATGCATGGAAGATGTAAAGAATTCACGCAAACAACCCCATTTGACATGTGCACTGTTAGGAACAGAGATGTGTGATTATGTGTCGCTATGGCAGGGTTTTGCAGCGTAATTGTCAACACTGTTAACTTTTATGTCATTGCTAGTTCCGATCCATAACTCGCTCGAGATTAATTAAACTCTAACTGGTGTGCTTAGATTGTCTTGGGTTGGAATGTTCCATCTTATACAAAAAGGGGGGATTAATTTCTATAAGCTTAAAAATATCATAGCTTAGAGAGAACAAGATTCAACAAAAATAAAGCTGTATGAAGGACAAAATACTGTAAAACCGTTGATTTTCGCGGATGATTTATTTTCGTTTATTTCTTGGGTTCACATGATCTATGAATTGGTATAACCCACGAATTGTTTGAATTAGTATATATAGACTCGTTGAACAATATTTATTCACGAAATGAAGTATTCAATATTTACTATTTTTCATGAAAATCCACCAAAATTAAGCCCCGCGAAGGTATATGGTTTTACAGAATAAGACTTTGTTTAAATAAGACTTTGGAAGTTATGAAGATATGAAAATTAATTATCGGAATAGTATAGTAATAATTATCGACACATGAATGTATTTTAGAAGCCAAAATTTGGCACTGCAAATAGAAAATAAAAATTGGTCTATGTTGATGGTATCAAAATGGGGACATATAAGTGCAATGTTTTTGTGGGGTAAATTTTCGGGGTTAAACGTTGACATGCAAAGAGCAGGAGCATGTACTATTCAATCGGTCTATACGTACAGTCCTTGGGTGTAAGAAACTAAACACTATACACTCTGCATCCCGATTTTACTGTAAATAACATTATTTTCGCGAGTAATTGATTTCAAGAATGGTATGAGAGTGTCTTTTTCACGAAAACGTGATTTTTGCGGGTACCACACTTTTCAAGGAAAAAGTATTTTCGCGACGAGTTTAAATTCACGAATGAAGCTGATCGCGAAAATACGCGAAACGCAACCCATCGCGAACAGAGAAATGACATACAGTGTCTAAGCAGAGATAGAATTCTGTAGAATATACTTCATTGAAAACAAAAATTAAAATCTACTCATTTTTTCCCTAAAGTATTAACATTTTATTTTCAAGTCAACTTCCTGACGTTATGATATTTTTTATTATCTGCGTGAGTAGACAATTGACTGGAAATTAAGAGATTAGGATATTCCCCATTAGGGCGTACAATAGACTTGACCATGTTTAGAAAGTTTCTGCTATGAACACACGGATCTCTAGATCCAGTTCAAATATTACTAATATATCAGAAAATTCATAGATAAACTCAAGGACATTTGGTTTCTGTCATTAAACACGGGTTGTGACCGTCGCACATATTGCTCTTACATACTTCATAGTTATTGTTAGTTGTTATTTAAGTGTCACATATTGATCTACATAAAGTACTTTTAAGCTTACATATATAACTGGATAGATATCCAGACAAAGATATATCAAGTTACGAAACACAACAAAGCACCGATATATACTCAAATATATATTTTTACATATATAAACACAAACTTACGTAATACTACCAAGCATCGATATTATATATATATACATATATAAATAAGCACATACTTGGTCAACACAACAAAGCATCGATATTTATACATGTAACACATCCTTTAAATTCACCAACATATAGTATCACACTTATTAATCTATACTGGTTGTATAGGGTGCCATAAAGATGTAAAAATGTCCGGGACAAGTTTTTATCTGCAAGGCTGTGTACCGTACATCGACTTAATGGTTACCTCCCTTGGCCTATGACAGCCACGTTTAAGGCTACGCGATCTATAAGCTTATCACTTAGATGTATTTTATTGGTGACACAAGTACGACACAAAGATATCCTGTCTAACTGCCATAATTATTCAATTTTGATGCAGATAAACATGGTATTTTAATAGATAACATACAAGTACAACGTACAGTATATAGTCTAATCGTCAGTTCCAAAGATTGTTTTTAATTGATACGTGAATAGGTCTGAAGTATCATTTTATTTGATAGAAATAAGTATATTCGAAAATATAACATGGAAATAAAAACCACGTATATCTCAGAGTTGTACCGACACAAAATTAATGTTGTTCTTCCACGAGTCCCGGAATGGTTATTTTGTTAAGATCTTTGAATTTTTAGGATTTATCTTATCACTACAAAGGTTATGTTCACATAATCGAAATCTCGCAAAAAGCCCGTAA